GTATTAGTTATGTCTCTGCTGTTGTAATAGCCTGACAAAATCAATTAAAGGAAGAAGGAAGGAAGGAAGGAAGGAAGGAAGGAGGGAGGGAGGGAGGGAGGGAAGGAGAAAGGAAGGAAGGAAGGAAGGAAGGAAGGAAGGAAGGAAGGAAGGAAGGAGGGAGAGAGAGAGAAAGGTAGGGATGGACAGACGGAGGGAGGGAGGAAGGGAGGAAGAGAGGAAATGGGGAGCTTATTTTGGCTAACAGTCCCAGGGTATAGTCCTTCATGGTGTCAGGAGCTTAAGGAGGCTTATCATATCATATCCACAATCAGGAAGTGGATAGTTCTGTGCTCAGGTAGCTTCCTCGTTTATACAGTTCAGGATCTAAGCCCAGGAAATGGCACTGCCTTTCTTCAGAGTGGGTCTTCTCACCTCAGTTAACCCAGTCAAGACAGTTCCTCACAGGCATGCCCGGAGGTAACAGAATCTGAGTATCCTTACAGGTGTGCCTGGAGATTTGTCTCCCACATGGTTCTAGAGCCTGTCAAGTTGACAGTTCTAAAGATAACTAGTTGAAGTTGACAGTTCTAAAGCTCAACCCCTTGTCAACACGACCCGAGCCGGTCACTTATAAACTGTCACCTTCTACCTCTTAGTTCCACAATCTTACCTTACACTGCAAAAATATATCCCACCCAACTTCAAAAGTTTCCATAACCTTTAACAATCCAAAGACTTTTTAAAAGTCTGAATTCTCTTCTGAGACTCAAGAGCATCTCTTAACTGTGGATTCCTATAACACACACAAAAAAAGGAAAACAATCAAATTGCTCAATTCTCACACCCAGAGGCACCCATTAACACAAAAAAGAAGGTGAGAATCCCAACAAGGAATGACCAGGGCAAAGCAAGGCTAAAATGTAGCAAGGCAAGCCTCGAATCCTGAAACTTTATGGCCAACATTTCGGGCTCGTGCTGGATCTCCAGAGGGCTTGAGTAGCTCCATCTGTCCAGTTTTGCTGCCTGTAGCAATATGTCTTCTCTCTTGGGCAATCTTTACACTAAGTCTGCAGTTTTCCTCAATGAACATCTCACTCTCCTAACGTCTGCAACATTCTGGGATCTCTCCAGTGATTCCCCTTCAGATCTTCCTGCAGTAAAGCTTTAGGGCCACCTTGCAGGTCCTTCAACACCACTGCGTCATTCTTAGTGTCTGGGGCTCTCTGGGATTGTGGGGAAAGTCTCTGATGACCGCACCCCTGTGCTTCTTCTATGCCTGCAGACTCAGCACCCACACGGATAGCTAAACTTTTCTAGATTTTCTAGATTTTTAGCAGCAACCAATTCTTTTGCTTTTGTTAATGTATCTTTCAGATTTGACACTGAGTGGCTCTTTGTGTCCTGGGTGTTAAACAAAGCATGGTGGCATCTCAAGATTTTTGGAGGGGGAGAAGGGGAGGTGAGACAGGGTTCTCTGTGTAGTATTGCCTGTCCTGGAACTCACTTTGTAGACCTCAAACTCATAGAGATCCTCCTGCCTCTGCTTCCAGAGTGCTGGAATTAAGGTGTGTGCCTAAAGTACTAAACATTGCAGACACTGTAGAGAGACTGTTTAAAAATCTAAGCATGACTCGGGAGGCAGAGGCAGGCGGATCACGGTGAGTTCGAGGCCAGCCTGGTCTACAAGAGCTAGTTGCAGGACAGGCTCCAAAGCTACAAAGAAACCCTTCCACGAAAACACACACACACACACACACACACACACACACACACACACACACACAAAATCTGAGAATGAAGACATTTCAAACAGCAAGCAGGCCACTGAGCTTGGAAATTCAAAGGGGTTTTCTGAATGGCCAAGCCTTCTAGTGGGTTTCTGAAATTCCTCCTATTCCTGTGGTTGGAAGAAAATAAAATTTTTATGAGGAAGTAGACTACTGTTTTTTAAAATTTGGCTTGTTCAGAGGTTTGGCCCTGAAGCCTGAGTCCTTGTCTGAGGAAGACACTTTACTTTTTGGACCTGTGGATGAAAGAAAAATGCCAAAGCACGATGGGGTGGCAAGAGTTCCAGGAACACAGCTCCCTATTATCCGCACAGAGGGAAGTGTAAGACCAAACAAACACAAATGAGTCCCCCACGCCCTTTGGAAATTGTCAAGTTGGGAGGGTAGGCCCCAGCCCCTCACATCTATCCCAGCCCCCAGGCCTGGTCTGGACTCCAAATCCCAGCAGGCCAGGTCCTGACACCACTCCCCAGGGTATTTAAGTGATCTCCCAAAAGAGGAACATGTGGTCTCCCTTTCTTCCTCCCGGGGGAGGGGGTCGCATTTTTGCAGCTTCCCGGTTTCCCCCACGGGGCCACAAAAGACTGAAGATCTCCCATTAAACCTGGATATATTCCTTAATTTGGCTTGTTTTGATTTGGCTTGATTGGGAACTTTTGCATAGGCAGGGAGCTCGCCTTAGGAATTATTCCTAACAGAAACTCTTTTGCAAAAGACAGTGATGCCAAGTACAAACATCAGCAGACCCATCATGACATTAGAAAACAAATTTTCTTTGCAAAGAGAAGGAAACAATAGATAATTCTGGAGCTGGGAGATTTTTGAGTATACTTCAGATATCTTTTTACAAGGGAGTTACTTGGAGGAACCCTTGGAAAGCATAATTGTCCCCCAGGGGAACTTTTATTATCTCTTTGAACATGGCCGCACTCAATCTTTCGGCATATTTCAAAAGATGACAGTGGAATGCGAGCTTCTGCTATCCATCATAAGGTCATCATGCGTGTGGAGTTCAGGACCATGTGGCTAAATAGCAGGCCAAGCTTTTTCAGTATTTATAGACAGCAGAGAAATGCAAGTGTTTTATCTCAAATACGCATGACAGCCCACTGAGTATTATGGCATACATGGCTGTATGTATGTGTGCCTGTATGTATAGACCATGCTGCCCACTCTAGTGTTCAGATTCTGTGTGACTCACTGTAGTGCTCTACAAAGATGGACCCCTGGCAAGCTACAGTTCATGGATGAAGAGCTTTTTTCCCAGTACTGGGCAAAGTATTCTTTGACTAGAAAGATAATAGAGAAAAGAAAAAGAACCCGAGTAGCAGGTTACAGACCGAGACATTACCTGGGGGCACTGATTTTGTTAACAAAGAGCTCTTTGGGAAGATTATTGCTGTTTACTGTGCTCTAAAAGAGAAAGTGACACCAAATTTGAGAGCTTTGTTAACAAAATCAGAAGGATTAATTGGTGGCAACTGAAATCCGAAAAGCAAAAAGCCTTGATTTAAGGAGCTAGAAGTCAATTCATGAAATAGCAGCCATGCTTTCTCTGCCTATTAATTATCTAAAAGGGAGCAAGCAGGGTTGCTGGCCACATGGATGACTCTTAGATTCCCTTACATACCTTTTTATGTCCCTGGCCGGCTGCCCAGTCTTTGAATTGTGATCCAAATGGAGTGAGGCACTGTTTGCCAAGCGTTTCCCTAGTGTTCCCTGAGAGGAAAGGAGCCACGGATTCCCAGGGTATGTGTGTGGAGAGAGAGCACATGTCAGCCGCCACTGCCAGTATGCTTTCCTAAAATTTGTTTTGTATGTTGGGGTTCTGTATCACTTCAGCTGGTGGGGGGGTCTGTGCTTAACATTAAATATATGTAATTCTTTACCAAAAAGTAAAAGTTGTGTTCATTATTAACAGTATCCCTTTGCATTCCAGATAGCGCTCAAAATAGCCAGGCTCCAGTGTGAAAGTCATCAGTGTGGTGATGCTGGCAGTTGTTTCCCATGTCAGTCAACACATTATGTACATAGAACAAGATTACTGTTCCTTGAATTCTCCAGCTGTGTGGGACAATGATATAATCCATTTTTTATATTTAATTGGCAATAAATTGTTCAATTGTTTTGGCATTTGGGAACGTCAAAGGTGTCCATTATTGTTCTGAGAAGCAAGGTTTTGTATTTTGTAGCATCTAATTTCCAGCAGCTAACTTAAAATAGTAGATAGCTACAATCACATATTTTCATTAATTACCTATTGAAATAAAAGATGGGAGTTATGAAAAAAGAGAAGTTGAGAAAAAACCACACAGAGGCATGACTTCATTTCTACTAGGTCGATTATAATCAAAAGCATTTAGGCAATAAAACATGTTGGTCTGGGGAGATGGCTTAGCGGATAAACTTGCTTGTCGTATAAGTGAGAAGACCATAGTTCAGATCCTCAGAGCCAAAATAAAAGCCTGGCAGGTGTGCAGTGGCCTGTAATCCTAGTACTTGGGATTCAGACACAGGATCCCTAAGGCAATACATAGAATACCTGAAATTGGTGGGTAAGGTTTACCAAGAGACCCTGCCTCAGTAAATAAAATGGGGGGGGGGGGGATCAAAGAAGACATCCATCAACTTCAGGCCTGCACAGGCACACTCACATATACAAGCAAAAAATGTTATCAGTAATATAGAGAAATAAGAAAAGTTATGTATCCTTGATGGCCATATTTGAAAAGCAGATGAGAAATGCCTTTAGCAATTGAACAGAATGAACATATGATCCAACGATCTGCCTCTCAAAATGTGTCCCAGGACAGTGTGGAACTGGCAACGTTCCAGCAGGCCACCTGTTTTAAATGCCACAGCACAGCAGAGACATAAGACTGCGAGAAGTCAATTCACTGGCAATTCAGTGAAGTCATGATACATAAGAACCCCAGTGCATCTGCAGCTGCAGCTACGGGGCTATCAGAGAGCAAAAGACCAAGGCAGGGCGGGATGGAGACAAGGATGGGTTTCAAAAGCTGAGGGCTGATGTGCAAGGACCCGCCTCTGCCTTCAGGCCTTGTTCTTGAGCATATATTGAAACCTGCCATGTCCTTCCTTAAATGGAAGGCACTATACAAACTAAGTTTCTGTGTGCACAGGTGCAAATGAGACGTCATCAAACACAGCCCAGAGCTACTGTGAAACAAATATTTTCCCCATGAAATGATCAAGTCTTAAACATATGTGTTTTATAATGGTAAAGTTTATTCCTCTGGCTAAGAAATCCAAAGGTAATTTGCAATTGGCATGCCTTTTTTATACGTCTGCTATTAAAAGTTTACTGTTCCCCTGCTTTCCAAAAGTGATTGATAAACCTCTTTCATTTATGTCTGTTTTTCATTTTGTGATACAAAATTAATAATACAAATACAGATGCATATATATTCATTTTGTGGAAAATAAGAAAGAGAATACAGATTGACCTCTTTGACCCAGAATAAGACTTTACATGATATCATATAAATGGTCACATACATGTTGCTTTGTAGCTTGCAATTTTTGGTTTATAACGAACTACCAGATGACTGGCCACTCATGCAAATAAACAAAACTTCTTATTAAATCAGTGGGGTAGAATTGAAAGATGAGATATGTAGAGCTGAATTTTATGTATGACTGTAACCAATAGTGAATGATTGAAGTAAAATGATAGCAAATACTTATGAGAAAAAGATGGAAACAGAAAGCAGTAGAAGTATTAATAGCAGAACATAATTCCTGAGGCTACTGATTAAAAGGGGCGTTCCCGAGAATGGGTATGGTTAGAATGCAGAGCCCTAAATTTTTTTCTCAGACTTCTTATTTCTTCCAAACATCTTTCCATCTCGTCTTCCTCTCCTGTCATTTCTTCGCCTTTAAAATGCCTATAGTCTATATCTTCTTTAAATTCTTCAAGAGACTGAAGCAGCCGCTGTCTGAAATTCCCTTCCATTCGCTGGCCTTCAAATGCTCCATAGGGATGTTCGTCCTCCATCTTTGGCTCACTGCACTTGGGCTTTCCTTCTTTTTCACTACAGGACTTTTGCATGATGTTGCTGTTTCCTGCTTAACTCCAGGGAGAAAATGCAGAGACGAATTACTTTGTTACTTTTGAATCACTTTCTCTTTGAATCAAGGTCTTAGGCCATTTCCCCACTCCTGACTGGTCCACAATTCCAGCCTTTTAGAAACTGAGAATGTCTCAGCTTCTTCAGCTTTCTGTCCAATATCCTTTTCCTCTTCCCCACCCTTCAACCCTGAACCCACCCATTTGTCAGTAGATAAACTGAATGGCTAGCAAAGCTGCAAACTTTACCCAGTATTTTCCCTTCCCAGCTCCCACCCTAAGAACCCAGGTCTAAGTGACAACCATACAACACCCTGTACAAATGCAGGAGAGTTTCTCACTCGGTCTTCCCTCCGGGTGGTCTCTGTGAACACAGATCCCTGGACCTACAAACAGAAACAAGGGGTCAGGGAAGAGAGAGTGGAATCTGGGACTTTCGTCACTGTGATAGTTTCGAGTAATCCACTGCCTGGTTCTTTTCCGGTCCTCTAAAATTTTTGTGCCTGTTCCCTGCTTGACCCTTGTAAGAGTAGGTATCTTCCATCTCCCATTTTGACTCCACCATTTCAGGTTAGCATTAAATGGGGTGAACTCCTTTTAAATTATCAAGATTTTTATTGTCTCCATCCCATGCATTCTGTCTTTGTCCATCCATTAAATCACATTTCAGTGCTACCATGTTCTCTTCAGTGAATTGGGGAAAGACAAAAAGAGGGGCCAAGTTTTTCAGGACAAGAGAAGCCTATTGTTTCTCAGTTATCACTAAATCAGTAGGTGTTTCTCAAGCCTTTCCCATGTTCCCTGGTTCTTTTCCAAATACGCAATTATTGGCAGCAAGATAGCTCAGTGGGTAAAGGCACTTGCTGCTGCTTAGCCTGAAAACCTTAGTTCAGGCTCTTAGATCTCAGGGATCTTCATGGTAGGAGGAGAGAACCAACTCCTGCATATTGTCCTCTGATCTCCACGTGTATATAGTGGAACATGCACTCACGAACATGCATGCAAATAGATACACTAATTAAAAATTAATACAAATGCAATTGTCTATCCCCCAATTAGAGATCTGGGGAAACAAGTTTAGATGGATTCCTGTCTCGTTCAGCCACTATCACTCCAAGGGGTTCTGGTGGTTTCTGCACAACCAATCTGCTGGGGTTTAAGGAATTTACCTTCTCTTCTCCTTGGCCACGAGTCTTCAGGGCAGTAAAGAGCTCGCACCCCGAGGAGAAAGGAACCTGGATATATAACGACTTGGGCTCATGTCAGTTTCTAATCACATGAGGATTATGTCATCTTCCAACTCTGGTCCCCACTTTCCCCTCCCATCAGCAGTGCTGCAGAAGTAGACCTGTCTCCTAACCTCCCACCCCCGCCACACCAGGCCCTGTCACTCATTTTGGCCTTTGCTAATTTCAGAGGTCAAAAGTGGCCCCTTCTCCTTATGGATGGAATGTGCCTTTCTCTGATTACCAGGGAGGGGCTGCATCTTCTCGTGGTTACATTCACCATCATTCCTTTTTTAGGGATTGTGTTGAGAGAAAGGATTACTCGTCCTTGTCTTGGTTGCAAGAACCAGAAAGTAGCAGTCTTGCCTCTACTTACCCTTCCCTCAGACATGAATAAGTATCATTTTCCTTATAGTCTAATATTTGAAACCAAATTGGAGTATACAAGACAAACTAGGAAATGAGGTAACAATTGGATTTATGTATTTTCACTTTTTTCCCAGGTATCTTCTTAGTTTTCAACTTTCCATAAACACAAGTCTCATAATTTGAAATAAGGTAAAGATATGCATATTCGGAAAAAAGACTAAAAATAGGAAGATAAAAAGACCGAAGCACCTGTTTCAGCTAATGAAGTCAGAATACAAATATAGACCTTTCAGGCAGGCACATTTTTAGAAGTTCAAAATGTACAGAGCAGTTGGAGCACGCCTTCCACAGAGACTTTCGAGCAGGTGAAGACCTCCTGTCACATGGATCGCTAAGACTATAATCCCACAGCATTCTATCCTTAGATATGCAGATCTCAAAAGTCAATCACAAATATCTACTAGTTGGATTCCACACTTTCAGCTTGTGCCATGTCATGTTCTTTTACTCCCTTGAATGTTGTGCCCCGAATATCCCCCTTTTTAAAATCTTTATCTTCACTCAGAACTTTTCTTATTTTCTTCTCTCAAACATTTCTGTCCTATTTATTTGCCTAGACTTTATTCTGCCATTTTAAGGACAATCAGTTACAGAAGCCACTACCCATCATACTAAACACATCTTTCTTGCTAAGGATTTTAGTACTTACAGAATGGGTTTGTTGACCTGAAAATAAGCAATGGGGAAAACTATGCAAAGTTCTTCTGTCTTGTTTATATTAGGAAGTCTGTAGCTCATTGCAAATGTAATCACTACTAGTAAGCTTGATGGGAATGATTCCAGAAAAAAAGAAGAGCTCTTTTAAAAAGTAGAGCTTTGTGGAGCCCATTTTGAAGGAATGATTAGCTTTAATAGAGAACTCAGCTAGTGAACAGCCAGAGAAGAAACAAGGCTCTTATCCAAAAGCTCACTAGAAACTAAATCCTACTAACACATTTGTAATTTAAGAAGTGAATCTTCTTGAAAGTGGATGTTAGTATGACACCGGTGTTATCAACACCTTCATTTCAATCTTGTAAGAGATCTTAAGGTGAAACCATCCAACCTAAACTACCTAGAGCCTAGTTCCTTGGCCCACAGAAATTGAGATGATAAAAGTTTATTGTTTTGCATTACAAGTATAAGGACGATTTGTAATACAGAAATAGATAACACAGATAACTAGGAATTAAGTTTGTGTACTTCAGATGTACTTAACAAATTATGGTCCTTTAACCTCTTTGAGATCTGCTGCATATAACATTTAAGATGTTTTAAGTTTTCTGCATTGAACTGTGACCATTCCTAACAACTGGGCACCATTTATAGGCAGAGATTTTGTCGGTACCACAGGCTCCAAAATAAATACAGAGACTTAATATTAATTATAAATACTCAGCCGACAGCACTAGCTTATTACTAACTAGTTCTTACATTCAAAATTAACCCATATTTCTTATCTACCCTCTGCCACATGGTGCTACCTTCTCTCAACATAACATGTTCATCTCTTCTCTCTGTATCTGGCTCATGACTCCCCAGACTCCAACCTTCTTCCCAGCATTCTCTCTACCCCTAAAATCCTGCCTAGTATTGACCAATCAGCTTTTTATTAACAATGACAGCAACACATTTTCACAGTGTATGGAAGGATTATTTCATTCCATAGCATTTCCCCCATTTTCTCTAAATAAAAATAAAGGTTTTAACTTTAGCATAGCAAAATTATACACAACAAAAATGGTTATATAGTAAGAATTACAGTTACAATATCCAGTCGATTTGTATTTGGCAAAATTAGAGAAGATGTTCTATTATTTATCTTAACTTTGTGAGTCTAAAGTTTTATACCTATTTACCATTTTATCATAGCTAAAGAAAACCTTTTCTAATTATTTAGTCTTTAACCTCATCAAAGACCCCAGAAGGGTGAAATGTTACCTAACGACAGAGGTAGCTGGCTGCCTAAGTTCTTCTGTAACGTTGGGGCATCCAACTTTGGCCTATAAGCCTAATATATCTGACAGACATTTTTGAGAAAAAGAGAATTTTGAAGAACTATCTTGGAAAATTTTGGCAGTCACTTTTTTTGCATCCTGCTGATCCATTTTGGACAGCATACTGTCAGCAATTGAAGCAAGGGCAGTTTTTTGCTCAAATGGGATAGCTTTTGCCATAAAAAAGTAAACTCCACACAGAGGTTCTTCTATGCCCATTATCTTCTTTTGAAGTAAATGGGTGCTGTAAATAGCAGTTATATCTCACTGTCAGGAAAAACCTTGTTATTAAAATATTTTAAATGCCATATTCTGTAGGTTTTTTAAGTGTTTGAAGACTATATATCTATCCTAAATATATCAGTTTAACATTGAAAAGATACCTAATGTGACTATAAGTTTGATTAGTATAGATGACTATTAACCTATAGTTCTTAATTATTCATTACATTTTTTAATGAGTTGCATAGGCACAATGTCCCAAACATGAGTAGAAACATGCATACAGTATAACAAAATTAACTTTAAATTTGCATCAATAAACCAAAATCCATACCAATGTAAAATATTTTGAGATTAATAGCTGCTTTTTTGGATTAAAGTAGATTCAATAATCTACCTTTTATCTCATCATGACATTTTTTCCTTGTCAGTACTTCAATGTTGTATACATCAGACTGTAGTGGAGGCAACTACAAATGCATTTCTGTGTTTCTGCACAGCATCCGCATTACAGCAAGCCCAGCTTATGTTCCACCATCAACTGTGGCTCTCCCATCAACTTACTTTGTGATGGATCATTAAAAAATATCCTCAAAATCAATGGTCTCATCATTGACCCTCAAAATATCCAGTGACAGGTTTGAGCTTGGAAGAAATGGAAGACACTGCACTTGCTGTACCGCCTTGAATTCCATCTGTAACTTCAGGGCAGCAAACAATCCCCAGATGTTCCTCAGGGTGGAAAAGTTCACCTTGTATTGGTTGAGCTGGAAATTTTTTCCTGATAATTCAATAGGGTGGCTGGTCAATCTAATAAATGTGACTTCATGAGGGTATATGTTTATTAATTGTTATTAATCATTTACTTTTAGAACTATTATTTAAATACAAGAAATCATACACATATGAAAAAGACATTTCATATTGTAATGAAAAACATCCTTGTGAAATCACACTTACTATGTGAAAAACTACATTACCCAAGAAAGTCATGCTCTTCTGTAGCCAATACCTGAACAACCACACATGAGGAGCTTTATGCCTGTGCAAAGTCATAGAACTCTTTTAGACAATGAAAATCTATATAGAATCTTCTTGGTCATCTTTGCTCTGTTTTTTTATCTTACATGGGTATTACCTGAGGACGGAGGAAAATTGGAATGAAATATTGAATGAATGTATACATACCAATATTTATGTACATATACTTTTAATATATGTCAACAAATGTATACAGATATTTACATGCATGAACACACATACACTATTAAAATAAAGACACGCAGAAACATTAGCAATAGAACTTTATTCATTTATTTATTTATTCATCTATCTATCTATCTGTTTATTTGGGTTTTCAAGACAGGGTTTCATCTATGTAACAGCCCTGGCTGTCCTGGAACTCACTTTGTAGACAAGGCTGGCTTTGAGCTCACAGAGATCAACTTGCCTCTGCCTCCCTAGTGGATGGTATTAAAGATGTGTGCCACCATGCACAGATAAGCCACGGGGCTTTAAATAGTGACCATAACAAAGATTTTTTTTCCCTGTCTTGATGATGTTATTTGGTGTTTTTAGTTCTACAGGGACCACACTTAGCTTTTAGTTCTCTGTTAATACTGACATTCATCTTTAAATGAGATCTTGTGCTATTAACATTAATTAACCCAGTCTATCTGGTTAACTTTTGGAGTCACCCTGCTTCCATACCTTGTCTGGGTCTCATGCCTTCCGTATTCAGTATGCCTTGTATTCACTTTGACAGCTGCATCTGTCACTTTCCCAGTTTATGACTGCTAGGACAGATGATTCCCTAGTGTTCTTTCTTCCATTTTCTCCCCCAGAGATGCCTATGTAAGATGTGAAAGGTCATTTATCTATTTAGTACTATGCATACAAGTCACCTTAAGATTTAAAATGAGGTCTGTCTCAATCTGCAGCTACAGTCTCATCCAGCTTCTACATACAACTGCCATTCTTTTATTAATGACATGTTTACAGTTATTCTTTGACTTTCTGGATGTCCAGCACTATCTTCTTAGAGGCAAGTTCTACACTGCTAAGAAATATGTTCTCTTTGGGTGGTGGTTTAGAGGAAGGTTGAAAGGAGGAGTGGACTGTTGGGGTCAGTAGGTTATAGGAGAAGGCAACGGGTATGCTGGCCTCAAAGAAAATACTCTAAGAAATACATGGGCCAGCATGACAAAAGGTTAGGAGGATATAAAATTAGGATGAGATATATGGAAGAGACCTGTCAAAGGAACCTGAACCATAAAACCTTACAATTAGTTACTTTGTAGGTAGAGGTTCACTCACTCCATTTTTAG